GTTTGCTTTTTTTACTCTGAACTTCTCATTCATTATTGTTCATGATTCTTCAGGATTTTTTAATCTGCTATCAGGATTATTAGAGTGTTAGTGTATTCTTGTCGGCAAGGAATTGGGGCCCAAATACTAAACTTTTGACTACTTTAATACACTATAAGTTAATGGTCAGAATACTTATGACTTCTTCAAATGGGGGGAGACTAGATACATAAATTGCTTTTTTTTCTAAATGGTGAAAAACAGATTGTATGAAAATACCCTAAAATTTAAAAGGCGACACTATATGCTGTCAATCATATGAACATTTATCTCCAAATCCAAAATGCTGGAGTATGGAGCACTTTAAAATGTTGGCTTCACTGTCAAAATAGATATGGTGTGGCCCTGTATACTCAATACAATCTAAATCTGATACCTCACTTCTGTTTTTTGGAATGATCCGCTTTTTTTAAACTGTTGGTCAGTCTATCAAATATTCGTATTATACATTTCTATCTACAAGCAATAATTGTAAATGTCATTTCTAATAAGAACATTAATTTATGGAATAGAATGTCAGGTTTCAGGACACTGATGTATCTAAACATTTTGGAAAAAAATATACTGCCACTATTTTGACCACCAAAGAATAGCAGTTGGGTTTTAATATGATTGACTCTTTGCAGGCTGTCAGGCTTCTAGTCACAGAGGAAGTGTGCTCTCTGTCTCAGCTCTGAGGTCAAACCCTCACACCTGAGAGAGCTGGACCTAGTAACAATACCTGAAGGATTCAGGATTTAAGCTGCTCTCTGCTGGACTGGGGAATCCCACTGTAAACTGGAGACTCTGAGGTCAATATTCCTGTATCACTCAAGGGAAAACACACACACTGGACACGGACACACCCCCACACACACACTGGACACACACACCATGGACACACCCACACTGGACACACACACTGGATACACACACACTGGACACACAGACCACACAGACACACACACAATGTTAATTTAGTAGGTTTAGGGAAAAATGTTATCTACTGTTAATAATGATACATTCAGTCAGTTTATATCAGTACCAATTCACCCCTCGTTTTGTCCACACTACTCATTCATCATTCAATTATCAATTTTTTTCTTTTCCTTTTTTTTTTACTCTTTTCTACATTGTATAATACACTATTGCAGCCAAGTCCAACACTATTTTAACCCCCACCATATGGCATCATTGTCTTCACCCACCTGTTTGTTATCAACCAATCAACAAACCATACATTTTATATTTGTCTATTCTTCCCACTAGCCACACCTTTTCCTTTACTGACATTTTTCCCACTCTTCTTCTTTTTTGTCATTCTCCTCACCCATCTTGACTGGAAGGATTTTCTAACAGTCTTTGAAGGAGTTTTTCCTCACATGTTCTGAGCGACGTGTTGGGCTGTTTTTTCCTTCACTCTGCCGTTTCCGACTCATCCCAAACCATCTCAATTATGTTGAGGTCGGGTGATTTGTGGGGCCGGTCACCTGATGCAGCACTCAATCACCTCCTTCTTGGTTCGATAGCTTACAACCGCCTGGACGTATTTGGTCCAGGGTTTTCTTGTTGTTTTGAAACCAAATTATATCCCACTATTCCCAAACCATATTTTATGGCGTAGTCGCTGCATAATGCTGTGGTGCCATGCTGGTTAGTGTCCTTGAATTCTAAATAACTCCTAGACAATGTCAACCAGCAAAGCACCCCCACACCATCACAACCTCTCCCCTCCTCCTCCATGCTTTACACTTGTGGTGAAGAATCTACCAACCTGCTTCTATCAATCCGGTCACCACTCCACACCTCTTCTCACAAGACCCGGCCGGTTGGAAACCAAAAATCTCCAATTTGGACTCCTCCCAACCTAAAAGGACATGTGTCCACTGGTCTAATGTCATATGCTCGTGTTTCTTGGCCCAATCAATTTCTCTTTTTCTCTCCTTCTTCTTTAGTAGTGATTTCTTTGCCGCAATTTCAAAATTCAACCATGGCCCTGATTCACAGCCGAGTCCCATCTGAACAGGTGTGATGTTGAGAGTGTCTGTGACTTGAACTCTGTGACGCATTTTATTTTGGGCCTGCAATTTCTGAGGCTGGTAACTCTAATTTGGAAAACTATATCCTCTGTTCATCAGAAGTAACTCTGGGTCTTCCCATTTCTGTGGTGGTCCTCATGAGATGCCTTTTCAATCATCAATCATAAAGCGGCTTGAATGGTTTTTTCAGTGCACTGAAGAAACTTTTCAAAGTTCTTGAATGTCCGTATTGACTGACCTTCATCATTGTCTTCAAGTAATGATGGACTTTCGGTTTCTCTTTTGCTTATTTGGCTTTTTCTTGACATCATACTGACTTTTACCAATCAGGGCTATCGCTTAATACAAAGAACCACCACCCCCCCTACATTGTCACACATAACTGGTTGGCTGAAATGTCTTAAGAAGGGAAATAAATTCCACACATACTTTTAAGAAATGCAATTCAGTGCTATACCTCATTAGCTGGTTGATGGACTGCCAATAGTGTGAAACTGTCATCAAGGAGGCAAAGGGTGCTATTTGCAGAATCCTCAATATAAATATATATTGATGCATTTAACACTTTTTTGGTTACTCCATGATTCCCTATCTGTCATTTCATAGTTTTTGATGTTTTCACTATTATTCTACAAATGTCAAATAGTAAGAACTTTTTTATAATTTTTTAAGTACCAATCTTTGACTGGTGTATATATACATATATGAATAGATGGCAGGTTCAGGACTCTGATGTTCTGAAAATTTTGAAAAAATATCCTGCCTCTATTTTGACCACTCAAAGAATACGCAGTGTGGGTTTTAATATGATTTGAATCTTTGCAGGCTGTCAGTCTGTCTAGTCCACAGAGGAAGGCTGTGCTTCTCTGGGCTCATCTCGGATCAAACCACCTCACACCTGAGAGAGCTGACCTGAGTCTACAATCACCCAGGAGACTCAGGAGGGAGTCAGACTGCTCTCTGCTGGACCTGAGGATCCACCCTGCAAGACTGGAGATAAACAAGTATGTAGAGGGTTTATGTCAATGAATCATATCAGACATGTTTGGAGTTATCAGCTGTTTCAGACAAACAGTTCTGACC